GGCTCCGAGCATGAACTTGCAACACTGTTGCCTTAGTTAGCTGTGTGTTGATGCCAAAAACTGAGGACAAACTTCCACCATCATTTTTTGTTGTTGTCGTTGTTGCAAGGGGTTTGGCTAATCTTGTAGACACCTCTCAGAGGCGCTTGGTTCTCAGTGATCTGCACATGGGTTACAGGCTTTGTGAATTATCCACGGATTATTTTTAATTCTGTACAGGTTGTGCCGCTGCGTGACATGCTCCCAACTGAGATGCCTCTCAGTGTTTCCTCCTCCGCTCAGGATACCTGGGGAACATCACACATTCTGACGTTAGCATGATAGAGGAGAAGGGGAGGTAAGCTTACCGGACAGTCATAACAGAGCAATTTCCAAATCAGAAAAAAAAACAAAAAAACAACCTTTGGCGTAATCTCTGTAGAATTGGATTATTTCTGCCTAGTTGTCCCTCCATGATTATGTTTTTAAAAATCAAGCCATCTAGAGACAGCCTGCATCTTCTTCCCAAAGCCACGCCTTAAGGAATGTAATTGCAGTATTGAACCCTGAACCGCCTGGAAGTTCAGGCATGAGAGAGGGTGTTGACATAGAAATTCTTCTGCCAACTTGGGGACCCAGGGGGCTTGCACTAAAAGCTTCCCTAATCCTTTCTCAAGATGGTCTTCAAGGGAGCTAACTCTGGGCCATCTTGCCCACCCTCTTAAAGCCAATCAAGCAACATAAACCCAAAGTGAGAATTAGTTGCACCTCATCCCCTCTTTGGTCAAAGCCTCCTGGTGCCTCCTCCGCCTTAAAAGTGGACCGTGGGCTGTGCACTTTCTGTGTGCAGAGACTGCCCAACGTGGGCCCCCTGCTCTTTTCAGGGAGGGAATGTAAGCAGATCCCCAAAGAAACCGCTGGGCTCAGCAATCTTAGGGCTTGTTGTAATTGGCCTGGCCTGAAAGAATCCAGCACGCTGTGCCGGTGCCAAGGAAAATGCAGATGCTTCCCTGAAACGGGCGTAGAGGGTGGATGGGCTCATCTGCCAACCCAAGGAGAAAAGCCAGGTGGACAGAAAGTTCAGGAAATCGGAAGGGCTCCTTAGAGACGGCTTTCTCTCATAGCAGTGGGCGGAGGCCACCAGAGCTGGCTAGGTATGCTGGCGGGGGGTGTGGTCTGGGGGAAGGCGCTCAGCAGAAGGCCTCCTCCTTTCACGAGGAGAGGAGCCGCGTGACTTCCCTGAGGAGTAAAGCCAGTGTCTCCCCCAGTCTGGCTCCTCCCCCGTGGCCCCAGTGGTCCTCTGCGGGGCTCAGCCTCGGCCACCTTCCTCTGGACCCTGCGAGGCTGGCTGGGGACATCCTCTGTCATTCTCAGGCTGGGAAGAAACTTGTTAATGACTGACTCCCGAGGCTCTCTGGCTTCTTACATCTCTTTTCTGTTAAAAATGTAAAAACCAGGAACTCTCTTTTGTGTGTCGTCTTTCTCCGGAACACCTTATAACTCTGTCATAGTTTTGTACTTGGCTGCCTGTGCCCCTGTCCTTCCCTATTTGTGGCCACCATGTGGGTGAGCCCGGCGGTCCCAACTGCAGACTTCATGCTTACTGTGGTCCCCAGCCATAGTAATGACTAAATCAGCGATTGTTAATTGACTGCCAGTGATTAAGATCACTATGGCACCTTCTTTATTTAGCATGATTTTTTTACTAACACTTTGGTTTCTTATTTTTTAAATATATTTTTATTGAAGTATAGTCAGTTTACCACGTTGCCAATTTCCGGTGTACAGCACAATGCTTCAGTCATCCATGAACATATATGTATTTGTTTCCATATTCTTTTTCACCATAAGTTACTACAAGATATTGAATATAGTTCCCTGTGCTGTACAGTATGAACTTGTTTACCTATTTTATATACAGTTAGTATCTGCAAATCTCAAACTCCCGATTTATCCCTTCCCACCCACTTCTCCTCCTTGTAACCATAAGTTTGTTTCGTACGTCTGTGAGTCTGTTTCTGTTTCTTCCTTTTTTTCTTTTTAGTTGAAGTGCCATCAGTTATAATGTGTCAGCTTCTGGTGCACAGCACAATGTCCCAGTCATGCATATACATACAGATACTCATTTTCATATTCTTTTTCATTAAAGGTTATTACAAGATAGTGCATATAGTTCCTTGTGCTATGGTTTCTATCTCTGTCACATGTCTGAATATATAGGAGGTGTTCCATCAACACTTGACAGATTCGGATTTTTCTGATGGATTAACGATCTTTTGCAACCAGGAAGAGACTGTCTTATGATGAGTCTGGCTCCCACTCTGCTTCTTTCCACTCCGAAGATCTTCCAGGGCTGTGTCTCTTCCTTCCCCTGCCACATTTATCCTTCATCCTACCTCTTGCCACCTCTTGAGACCCCAAGATGGTTTTGGAAACATCCCAGGTATCTTGGACCTCCCTCGGGGCTCTCTCTTCACTTCTCCCCACCTCTCAGTTCCTTTTCTAACCTCACGTCTCCCTGTTCCGCCATCCCTAAACGCTGCGTCTCCTCCCTCCTCCACCTGAGCCCTCTGTCCTCTCTGCTCCATCAGAAGCCACTTCTTCAGTGTTCCACTTCTCTCGTCTGTCATCCTCTCCAGCTATGCCCTCACTTTACAGCTCTGCCCCCGCCCACCTCATGCAAGCCATTCAAACACATACCACACACCAGCACCCCTCAAGTCTCCATAGCTCGCTTCCTTCATTAGCAACCTTCGCCTTTTAAATTTCTCCTGCCCCTGTTCTTCCATCTCCTCAGCCGGCACTGGAAGGCTTGCACTTGTACGCAGAAGATAGCGGGACGGCAACAATTTCATCTACGCTTTTGACCAGTATCGTGTATCATTTAGTAGTGGTCATTCACACTGGAGATGGTGTTTTTAAAATTTACTATAATCAGGCTCTTTATAAACCGTATCACTTTCAGGTTTTGTCTTTATACTCTGACACAGCGCCTATTAAAGGTACCCTTCCCTTTTTCTTTGTTTCCATGTCTCACTGATGCATTTTGCATGTGTGTGTGGGGGGTTTTTTTTGGTTTTTTTTTTTTGCTAATTTCCCCATTAGACTGGCCAACGATGAAATTAGCTTTGGAGGCAGCGTTCAGACAGAGATCAGGCAGCACTCAAACAGCAAAGATAAGGAAGGAATTCAGACATGAGGGATGGAGGTCTTCGACAGGATGGCTTCTAAACGTCCCTTTTTAAAACCTGCGAAGATCCTCCCTAAACTGATAAGAGTGTGGCCTCTCCTTGGTGTTTTCCACTACACTAAAGGTCATTTGCCTCGCCTGGGAGCTACTTACATATTAGAATTACCTGAGATAGTAACATAAATCACCCTGTTCAAGGGGCAGGGAGGAGAAGGTGTGAGCACACTTGGGACTTAGGTGATCGTGGAGCATGTTAGAGCGTGAGACCCCGACTCGGCGGGAGTCAGACACTGCGCGAGGGTTTCCTGTGTTTCTTTTGCCCAGTGTCTCCTTTTGGACCTCAGGCGGTTCCTGGGCCTCAGCACCCTCGGAGCTAGATTCCCCAAGGCTTATTTCAGTCCAGAAGTTCTTCCTGCTCCAGCCCATTCTCTGACCAAAGAACTTCCAGTGGCAGAGCCCTCCTGACCCTCTCCAGGCAGGAAGTGAGCGTTCTCACTTTGGACTGAACCAGCAGAATGTTCTTATTCCATGAGTCAAAAAGTGTTCTCTTGGAAGTGTCTCCCATTGGTTCCATTCTGTTCCCTGAAGCCCAGAGACAACCCGTCTCTTTCTTCTACCTGAGAGCCCTTTGGCTCCATGAGGACAGCAGTTATGTCACGGATGGTCTTCCTCTGCCTAGACATTTCCACTTTTCCAAATTCTTCATGACGTGCCTTCTGGTCCTTTCTGTACATTGGTTGCTCTATTTTCAGCATGTTCCATGGTGCCCGGGGTTGGATGTAGAGCAAAATGGGGTGCTCTGAGCAGCCCGGAGGGAAACAAGACTCTCCTTCCCACCCCACTCATTCTCCTGTCCTTCAGCTCCTGACCCGGTGTCCTGCACATGCTCCAGACCCCCTGATACGTTCTCCTGGAGGAGAACTTCGGATTTTCAATCCATCCTTCACAGCAGTCCTGTCACTGAAGGTCCTCAGGTTTAGATCCAACTGGATGAAGGGGAAACTTCTTGCTTTTGTAGCTTTCCTTGAATTCTCCAAATCCTTGCTGCTGGTTTTTACTTGACTTCAGCTTATAACAAAGTTTAAGTGTCTTCAGGGTGGGTTGCCTTTTTCATATTCCGCCCAGAGCCCGAAACAGGTCTGAGAAGTATTTGTTGAGTCCATATCATAAACTGAACTTACCTCCTGCATCACATCATCTTGGCTTCTCTTGCCTGGGTGTGTGTGTGTGTTTGTTTTGTCTTCATTCCTGTAGTGTCAGTGTCACTTACTGAGAAAGAGCCAACGACGAAGCAGGGGCTTTTAATAAACGGAGATTTATATTTTTACACAAGCTCAGTCTTTCCGTGTGGTTCAGCGCAGAGCAGCTACCAACATCAGGGAGGCAGTGGAGTTTAACAGAGACCAGCAGGGGCTGGCTGGAGATTTGGCTTGCTGAAATTAACACGAGGTGTTCTATGTTGACCACTTGGCCTAGTCCTCCTGCCAGGACAGCTAGGGGAGTCACAGAGGCAATGCGCCACGGCGAGAAGAGCTCTGGGCTTAAATAGACTTAGGCTTGATCCCTGTCACAGCCACTTAGTTTGTGATCAGTTAACTACTCTGACCTCAGTTTCTTCATCTGTAAATGGGGTTAACCCAACTCCATGTTAGAAACGATATGATGGTGAAATGCGACCGTGTGTCACAACACACGTGGTGACATGGCAACTCCAGCTGGAGCACTGTGGTCATTCTGCAGTTTCCTTACCTGGTTTTGGTAAATGAGCCTTCCAGTGGGCCCAGTGGTTGCTTCTCCTGCTTCTGACATAATGACGCGCTCTCTCCTGCAGCTCAGTCTGGGTCTCGAGATCCGTGTCGCTCCCTGCACGCTATCCTCCTGGCTGCCCAGTCCATCACTACCCCTTTGTGATGCAGCTCATCGCCCTGCACTGAGGAAGGTCCTTGAGCCCCACCTCCCCTTCTCTCCAGAGACAGGGTGCCATCTAGATGGGTGCTAGGAGGTCAGGAAACCTGGGCCCTTCGCTCCACCGATGGTTTTCCGAGCGCACCGGACACCTTCCTTGGTTGCGTGAGCCTCTGCTTCTGTTTGCAGGAAGAGGGCTATATTTGATTTCCCACTTGCCTGCCAGGGTAGGTGAGGATGAATGACATGGACTCTCACCGGAGAAAGATACTGTTTGAACAGACAGTCTGTTTCCATCAAGGTGGGGAGCAGTCAACTGCCAGGGCTCCACGCCGGCGAGAGTCCAGGGGACTGGACCATCCCCCTTCACTCAGACGGCGGAGACCACGCCTGTCTCCCCTGAACGGCCGTGTGTGAATGTCCGGCTTTATGATACATTTGTGCCGGTGAGGGAGTTGGACACGAAGCAGAGGCAGAGGGGTGCCCGTCCCCACTTCATACAGAGCATCAACTGTGCGAGCCCGTGACTCATGGCACACTCACCTGGAGTCGGAGCCCCCCAGGCACCGGGAGCCCTGCCTCCCCGGAGTATTTCCCCGATTGATGACGGAGGACCTCAGCACTGCAGCTCACACAGAGCCTTTATTCGTGGCCGGCGCGGGACTGCGCGGCCTGTGGGGCACACCCCGGGCCGTGTGCGCTCTCCTCCCGCCTCCTCCCGGGGAGGGAGGCCCCGGCCCGCCGGCGCTGACTTGCCATGCCCCGCATCTCCCACAAGGGGGAGCCCCCGGAGGGCAGCGGAATTTTGGAAGCGCTGAAGTTTTTCTCCTGCTGTCCTCTTAACTGATTTTCCGTACCCAACTGTAAGATTTTCTTTGTTGCAATGTTGGGGCCTGAGCTAACACTTCTGGAGTCTGCGGGTGAGAACCACGGCGGATGCCATCTTTTCTTGTTTGTTATTACCTACCTAGCATTATAAACTAAGGAGGGAAAGTCACAAAGAGCTTCAAGACGTTCATGGATCTCAGGCCCTGGAGGGAGGCAGGCGGCATCAGACAGACAGAACCAGGAAATCTGAGAGGCAGCCAGAAGGTGCCTGTGGCTGCAGAGCCCAGGTAGGTACCCGGGAGAGGATGACTGGGGCCGGGTAGGGGGTCACGGCTGGGGTGGGGAGAGGCATAGAGTCTCTGTTGGTGGGAAGAGGGGATGGACAGGAGAGGTGGAGGGGTGAGGTGCAGAGAGGAGTTGGGAGGCTGAGGGAGGAGTTCCAAGGAGTGCAAAAGAAAAAAGTGCTCGCTTGTAGCTTGTGATGCAAAAGCCTGACCACGGAGCTGGACGGGAGGGTTTGGGATCTGAATCAGAGACTTAAACTGGTTTTGAAGTTGGTTCCAACTCAGCTGCCCCAGGAACTTTGCAGGACATCAGAGGCTGGGAGCTTGAGGGCAAATGCTTATTGCACAAGAAAATTTAAAAGTGAGTAGGTGTGCCCGAAAGTTGATCTGATGGTTCTGGTTGTGTGTCATAGAGCCACACCTACTCCGGACTTTTGACCTAAACTAGAAGGAATTCTGATCTGATGGCGTGTTCGGTCCTCTCCACTCTGAGCCCATGTCTCAGCCTTTCCCCTGCTTCCTTCCAGTCCCCACAGCTGCTCTCAGTAATGGACGAGAGTCCCAAGTTCTCATTCTGCCATGGAGTGAGATGAGCTTAAGCAAGGAAGCCTCGGAGTCTCCGTTTTCTTTGTCTATAAGAGGGAGATAATAACATATTACAGATGAGCCTTATAGGATTTTTCTGAGGATTGAATGAGTAAGATAATGTGAATAAATGCTCTTAATAGATTATAATTACTAGCTAAATAAAAGATGGCATTAATAATAATTAATCAGTTAATATACCCTTAATAGTCTCAGCGGGGTATTTTCCTACTGAGCTTTGCAGAAACCTGTGTGAGTGTGTGTGTGTGTGTGTGTGTGTGTTTATGTGTGTATGTGTGTATCTTTGGCAGATAAGTGGGAAACTTTGTGTTCTTTCCCTTTTAACCACCTTCAAATGTTCCCTTTCCCAGCCTCGGCTGCATTTTTCTATTTCTCAAACATGCAGATGATTGATGATGTCTGCTTGGCTCCCTGGAAGAGTGATTTGTCTGTGTCCTGGACACTGTGCTGCCCGAGGCCATGTCCCACCGTGTCTCAGGCACCTGATCAGACTGAATATGCTCAGAAGAAGCAAATAAGGGGCTGTGTTTGTAACCTCATCTCCATATTCCCTGCCTGGGGTGTCCTTTCCAGACCACTACTTATTTGCTGCAATGCCTCCGATGGGAGATCAGCTTCTGTACCTTTGGGTCAGATTGGTTCAGCTGACCAGTCAAGGCCTTGAAATTGGCTCTGACACCTGTATACATCTTCACCCTCTCCTCGGGCTCCGGATGAGTGTGGTCTCTGGGGAAGGCAGTGTAGACTCAGGGCAAATCCTCTGACTTCCCTTCCCCACCTGTCAGATGAAGTCATTCCTGCCCTTCCTTCCTGCATCCACATGTGGAGGTGAGGCACTCCCGAGATTGTGCCTGAACACACCGAAGTCTGTAAGTCTGTGGTGTTTCAGAGTCATGAGGTGTCATCACTGTTATCCCACTGCATGTTTTAAAATTATTCCGGGAAGGGCAGACATAGCTCAGTGGTGGAGTGCGTGTGTAGCGTGCACAAGGTCCTGGGTTCAATCCCCAGTACCTCCATTACAATAAATAAATAAAAACCTAATTACCCCCCACCCCCAAAAAAGAATTAAAATAAAAAAAAATTTAAAAACAATCCATATTTCTTGGGGGGGAGGGTATAGCTCAGGTGGTAGAGTGGTACATGCTTAGCATGCAGGAGGTCCTGGGTTCAATCACCAGTCCTCCTCAAAAAAATAAAGAAATAGATAAACCTAATTACCCCCCCCCAAAAAAAGCCTAAATAAATAAAATTCTTGATCAACATGTATTTCACAACCTTACTTATTTTAAAAGCTGTCTTTCTCCAGATATGAATCCTCTCCTACTTTTCTCCACCAATTGACTGATAAACCAAATATTTACAGAGATGCTAAGTGATACACCTTTTTACCTTCAAAAATCAGTATCCCATCTAAATCACATGTACACATGCACAACATGTACAAAGATGGTTTGCATTTTTCTGAAACCACCAAACACATATATATCCCTTCAATTTTCAAGCCTGTACTTATTCCCCTTTTATTCCAAAATATATGCAAATATATATTTGAGCAAAAAAACGTACACTGATATGCACATGGCATACTTACTTAGCAGATTTAATGGGAAGCGGAGCAAACCCACCACTCTGTCAGCATTCCAGCTGTTTTAGAGTCCAGAAGTGGCCACAATACACAATTCACGTGGTTAAAAAAAAATCATGGATCAATTTCATCCCAGTTCCTAGTACTGAATATCAATATCTTGCCTCTGCCAGACAGACTCTGAGCAGCCTCAGATACTTTCAAATGAGTTTTTTAAAAATACATCTGCAAAGTCAGTTATTTTGAAGCTCATCTGAAGCAATTAAAAAAGCATCCTGACATTTCAGGTGATATTTTTTCCCAAGTAAAATAATTATAAATAATACTAATTATGAGCAAATCATTCAGTTACTCACAGCCTGGTTCAACCTTTAGGTTAATAAACCAATCCATTAAAATTCATCTTGCTCAAAGGGCCAATTTGTTAAAAAATGTAGCGACCTTTCACCACAAGTCTGATTGATATTTTCTTGAACGATAATCAGAGCTGTCTTTCCCAGGAGAGAGTGTGGTCAAGTGGTAGGTACAGGAGACCTGGGTTCGTTTGTGCCTGTCTCAGTCGTACTTCTCACTTAGGCACAAAATAGTGCTGCTGCTGAAGACGATGGTGATAATGTACAAAAACGAAAACTCCGATTTCAGAAAACACCTCAAAGAGATGTCTGTAAGTCTTGAGACGGTTGCTCACAAAAAACTGACAATGTCATTCTTCCCTCTGGGAAAGATTTTGGACTAGCCCCTCTGGCTGCCTCTGGGATTTCATTCTCTCCAAAGGTGTAGGGCAGGGATTTGCAGATATGGCCCATGGGCCAGATCCAGGCTGCCACCTGCTTCTGTAAATAAAGTCTCATCAGAACAAAGTATATCTCTTCATCCGCATATTGTCACTGGTTGCTTCCCTATTCTAAAGGCAGAGTTGAGTAGTTACAGTGGCCCACGGGGCCCACAACACCTAAAAAATTTCTCATTTGGCCCTTTACAGAAAGAGTTTGCCAAACCCAGATGTAGGGTAAAGGGGAAAAAAATGCAAACCAGTTATCTCTGAATTTATACTGACGACTAATATTTAAGCATCACTTTACAGTTTATAAAGTCTGAGGACGTTATTTTCTAACAGGTATTATCATCCTTGCTTAACTGATGGAGAAATTTGTATCGCCGTTCAGCCTTTAAGTGGTGTGGGTGGGACTTGGCCTCTGGAGAGGAGCAGCCCACGGAGGTGGCTCTCAAGCTGCGTTAGTGGCCTGTCTTGTCCATCTCTCCAGAATAAGTCATCACTAAAACTCAGTAAAGGAAGCAAAATGCTTGACATCCTGTTCCCTCTTTATCTGACCTTGGCCTGGGTGATTTTAACCTTGTTCTGCTTCTACATCTCTGTTCTCATAACCAGAGCAATACCAGTAAACAGAAAGACGAGTAAAGTGCTTTGCCGTCAAACAAAGCTTAGCTTTATTGCTTCCACTCTCACTTATCCACACTGAAGGAATGTGTCCGCCCTGAAGTTGGCACCGGTGCCTGGATATTCTGAAACCGCCAGTGACAGAGAAGCCTTTGTTTTGGAATATGCTATCTTTTTTTAAAGTTCGCTTTTTGAAATGGCAAGTCCCTCCTTAATTATGTTTTTTTTCTTTTATTTCGTTTATTATCAAAATCATAGTTTCTCCCCTGAGCTTGTTCCGCCTGCTAGTAAGGTGGGCCATGCAGTGCCCGGTAGCACGGGGAAGCCTGGAGCGCAGAGCTCCCCTGCAAGATGCGTGGATATACGCCAAGTTGTTTGAAAGGACCTAAGGTTTTCTTAACCTTATATTGTCTTGGAAAGGAGGTAAGCGATAAAATGAGAGACCTGAGAATAAGAAACTTCTAAGTCAAACCTCTCCTAAAATAAGGATTTAAACACGAGCAAATTGAGTTTTTCCACCCAACCAACTTTAATGTTGGGTGTTCACCCTGACAGCCACTGCTCGGAGCTGAAGGAGTCTCACGCTGACTGAGGTTCAGATGTTCTTCAGGAAATGACTTATTAGAGACATGAACACGCACACCCGTGTTCGTAATGCACGTTAGAAATAGTTCAGTGGGACTGCGGATGAAATTGGAGCACGCTCCAAGGAGACATTCTTCTTCCTTATTGGACGGTCACTGAGAGGAAGTGGCACTTTGTGAGACTCAAAGAATATGGAGGGAATTCCAAATTTTAGGCATTTGAAAATGGCTGGGGGTAGGCACTCCGGGATGAAACAGAGGGATGAAAGTCACAGAGCGAAATACAGTATTTGTATGTGATCAGAAAGTCACTCATTCTATTTGGAGCATATGGTTATGTGAGAGTGGAGGAAGGTGTGGTAGGTGAACTTGGTCAGAGCCAGAATCCAGAGGGAATGGCAGGCTAGAAGGCTGTGTCTTTCTTCTGTAGATGCTGAGAACCATGGTGTATTTTTCTGCAGGAGAATCACATGGTCATACCTGTGATTTATTGGAAAAGAGTGTAACAGATGTTTGAAAAGAACCCAGAGGCAGGGTCACCAGTGGGCAGCTGGAGCAACGGTCCAGGCAAGGTGAGGAACGTAACTCCTTTGTCTTGTGCTGCATTCACGAGGCTGCTCCTCTCCAACCTGACTAGCCTAGGTTATTGCCCTGGCTGAGGGCTTTCTGAGGGCATTTATTTAATGGCATGCCAGTGGCATTTACTCATAAAACCAAAAAGCCATTGGGGCCAGAAATAGGGGTTTTGGTTACTTCCCCAGACAGGATGCAGTTGGGGTGATTATACATGTGATTCATCAAGGTCGGGAAACAAGTCCTCCACAAA